TGATGACTAAAAATCCCAAATGTATAAGCCTTTTCTGTCAAGAGGATACGACGTGGGACTGGGCCACTGGGGTCATTGTCTTGAATACCTTTTGGCTTTTTGCTTAGTCAGGGGCCAAAGAGAAAGAAAATACACAAAACACTTGGGGTACTGGACTTTGGCTCACCTGCACAAACTATTCTTAAACAACTTATCGGATCGAAGTTTGGTGTTTCCTCGCAAATAGACCATCAAAAGAGAGAACAAAATGAGAGAGAGAGAGAGAGAGAGAGAAGGTTTCGCTAAAGGTACTTAAAAAATGAGGTAGAACACGCGTGGTGACTTTATGTTGAACACAAGAAAATGTGTGTTTAAGTTTTAAGGACCGAAATTCGGATCCTATGGCTTTCTTCGCGAGCAGTAAGTTGGAAGGGAAGGTCCAATAGATGAAGACAAGAAAAAAACGAGTGCAAAAAGAGGCCCGCTCGGCTTAATACAAAATGACTCTTTTTTTCTTACCTTCTTTTTGGTTTGCTGCAATTCTTCAACCTCATATTTTAGCTGAAATAAAAAAAAAAAAAAAAAGACGGATGAACCAAACAAGTAAAGACATTATTATTAATTTACATATGATATTAGATTGACTAGTAATATCCTGATTAAACATTTAAGAATTGCACTTATATATTTCATCCTAAACCCTAATTAATCCTAGTAAAGATAACTCATGATTTGTGCTTAATTTTTAGGGGTGCAAATTAAGTGCATTGCACCGATATATTTCATCCTGTAAAATGTTATACATGGTAGTTTATTTTACATGTTAATAAATGCTTCATTCTCAGGAGAAGGCAGTGATGATGGCTGCTGCTGGTGTGATGGGGATGACTGTGACCTTGTCGTGTCTTGAACACCAATTGCATCAATCTTGTTGCGTGTGTGTACATATAGTGGGCAAAACAAGGCGATATGGGGAAAAGTGAATAAAAAAAGCTAAAAAAAATGTGTAAGCTTAAACCCTTTTGACCAAACGGAGAACACTGAAAAGATCCGATTATTGCATCCGAGTCTCTTGCACTCGGATTTAACTATGACTAGAAAAATCCGAAAACCACCGGCTTTGACAGGGTAAGGAAAATGTATAAGCCTTTTTTAAGTCAAGCGGATAGCACATGGGACTGGGCCAGTGGGGTCATTGTCTTGAATTCTTTTTCTTAGTCGGGAGGCAAAGAGAAAGAAAATACACAATACACTTGAGGCCTTGGACTTTGGTTCACCTGCACAAACTACTCCGAAACAACTTATCTGATTATAGTTTGATGTTTCCTTGCAAACAGACCATCAAAAGAGAGAACAAAACAACAGAGAGAGAGAGAAAAGCTTAAGCTAAAGGTACTTAAAAATTGAGATAGACTTTATGTTACAGAGAGAGAGAGAAAAGCTTAAGCTAAAGGTACTTAAAAATTGAGATAGACTTTATGTTAGAACACTAGCAAATATGTGTTAAAGTTTTAAGCATGGGCCCCAAAAGAAAGGCAAATAAATGAAGACAAAGAAGAAAACGAGTGCTGAAAAGAGGACCGGCTCAGATTAAATATAATGAATTTTTGTTCTTACGAAGTTTCTTTTGAAAATAAAAATTGCCAAATTTTAAGATTATTTACATAATATTTTAAATATTTAACCTCTCCTCAACTTAGGCAAAAGTGTCTCAAAATCTTCAATAAAATCTTCACATACCTTCCAATCACTCTTGTTTTCCCTTAATCTTCATTAATTTTAATGAAGAAACTTTTGGCAAAGTTGCTTGTACAAATTACAAGTTAAAAGTCTGATTATAAATACTTAATAAGATTAGTTAAATTGTTATTTTAAAACAAATATAAAAGTCAAAGAGACGTTATATTTTAATTATTAATCATATATCTTTTTAAAGATATCACGTTAAGATTTTCTAAAAAAAAGGAAAAAAGGTACAAAACTAAAATTCATTTCTTAATATAAGACGAACGAAAAGGAGAAAGAAAAGGCAATGATGTGATGATGCAAGCCAAGCGTTAATACACCACCCAAACTTATGGCGTAAACTACTTTCAATGCTTCGACTTAACTAATTGCCTGCTTTACCTAATACAGTATCCGGAACCTTCTGGTTGGCCTGCCTGCAAAGCCTTCAGCTATCTACCTTGCTTGGTGCTCTATAAACTTTTGGTCAGTTTTGCCTCCGTCAAAACAATGCCCTGGAACTCTACATCCCATCATTGACCGACAATTCTCTGAACCACTTACTATTGATTTTTTCATTCTCTCCGTTAACACTATATCTGTAAATAAAAAATAAAAAAATATTTAAATTAACAATAAATAATCAATCTTAATTATAAAAATTTATTTAATTTAAATATAAATATAAAAAATTAATTAAATATAATAAAAAATAATTATTTGTTTAAATTTTTAAAAATACTTTAATATATATACAATATAGTTAATTTCAAGCACTTATTTGAAAAAATATAACCTTCGACGACTATGTTTAATTTCAAGAATAAAATCACAAAACTAATAATTAATTAGAATTAAACAAATCAGGAAAAATGCGGGCAAGTAAAAGCTCAAAATTAAGGCTTAATTCTCTAAATTTGTGAATACCCTTTGACAGTAACAAATAGACCATGCTGGCTATAGCACTACAAACTTTAGGTTGACTTCACTGATGATATACATTTCTTCGCAAAATAATATCATGTCAAGTCAATTACCAGGGCTGATGGCTCTCCCAAACGTATTCTTCCACGGAATAGATCAAGAAATGTACGACGTCGGAAGTGAGGCATGTCATCTTGACTGAAAGGAAAATAATTCCCATGTGTGAGGCAGTCAGCATATTTCATGACAAAGAGGCCGCAATCCACGGGGCTGTATTGTCAATGAAAAGATTGAAAGTGTAACGAAATACCATTAATAAAATGAAATACTAAAAGCTTCATTAGTTCTTAAATAAGGACAGCTTGCTTACTTCTTTTGCATAGGAATATCTTCGGACATGAAACGGCCAACCCTTGGCATTATTATGACCCATGGATGGCAATAGAAACTCTGAAAACCACCGCCATCACCTGCTTCTCTAAATCATTAACACTCGAGAATATTCGTTTGGATCCAACCATAGCAATTTTTCATCGTCAATGTCAGCATAAAAAGAAGCCAATGTTCACCAAACACATGGGCAGAAACAACTGCAATGAGTCATGACAGAAAAACCAAAGTGTTAATTGTGCCTACCTATAGATTACCAGTGATGACATTGCATTAAGCAGACTAACCTAAGGGAATAAAAAGACATTACCTTTCTCACGCCTTTCAAGTCCTCTTGTTTAACCCAACTTAACACTTCATATTCGGCCTTTGATCCGTAATCAAGAAAGTCTGAGTTCATCATATATAGTTGAAAAGTTATCTCATGCCGACTATCAGACACATGTAAAAAAAATCTTAATTATGATTTTGAATAAAGGTCCTTACAGCTGTAGCAGAATCGAAGGAATGGTGCTTTAGGTATTTATGTGGAACTTCTCATACCTTCTTTTAAGCAAAATGAAGAACTGATTCACAACCTTCAAATATGGGCAAGGCACGTCGCAATATGTGCATTCAGCTTATAATTTCAAGCTACTAGTATATTTCCAAGAAATTAAAAAAATGAAAAAGAAATATTATTTTGAAAGGACACTAACCGTATCCTCGACATAGTAATTTCTTGCATCTCCCGAACCAATATCATTCGAGGAATTCTAAGCAAAGGTGCTAATGCTTTATCCTGTATCTTATCTCGTCCAATTTCTTCCCTTCAAAACAGAACAACAAATAAATAAGTTTCATTATGATTACAATGATATCAACCCTTAATTAAACTATCATATTTGAGAGGATGTAGCATATAATAGCACACATACGTACCCACTTATTTCATGATTTTGCCATTTGCTCAATGTTTACTTCTTTTTCCGTTAAAGGAGAGATCAAATATTCCCGAACATCCTACAAAAATTCAAAAGACCTACAAAAGTAAGAGTATTTTTTCTTTTTATTTTCTTGATTAGTTTATGTTGTAAAACCTTTTACTAGTAAATCAATTCCTGAAAATTTGAAAACTTTTTAGGCATACGAGATGTTAAATAGTACTAGCCTAAGATTTTAGGTTGAGTTTCCTCGTGTAGGATTTAATTAATCAGCACAAAATACGAAGGGTATTGCTTGTACCTTCTTTGACCATGCTCTCGCCTCCCTCCCTATTTCTTCTTCCATGGCGCTTCAGTGTCAGATTCAGAAGAGAGAAAGCTGTTTTCTACAGACCGATACTCTAAGAGGCTAATCGCTTCGACTACAAGGGCAGCGTTCCTCTCTATATTCACCCTTCTTTTGTATTTTTATTCTTTGTTGACATTCGCTTGTACTACGATTTCTCATACTACTGGCAAGTTAGTATAGTCTCGGGCTCGTTCCCTGTGAACTTTTGCCTCCTAGCTTCCGTTCCTCGCTTTCTCTGATCTTTGATCAGTTTGGCGTGCGGCACGGGGGTATGTTATTGCGGTAGGGAAGCTGTCGTGGGGATGTCAGGTTTCTTGTCCTGTTCGATGTTCGAACGTCGTGTTGGGAAGATTATTCGGTTTCCTTTTTCTTGGTTCTGCCTTATTTATGTTTCTGTGTGTGTAATTTAATTCTCTTTTTTTTCTTTTTTTGTCTAAACCGAATGATGTGCAAAAGGAGGTGGGGGGGGTGGGGGCCCTTAAATTCCTTTTCCAATTCTTTTTTTGGAACCCCCCAAAAAAAAAATTTTGGGGGGGGGGCGCCCAGCCTATGTTCTCTCTTATTAGGTTCGATTATTTGAAAAAGCTTCGATCAAATAACTACAGAGGATCAATATGATGAATAAGAATGGATCATGGAACATTACTTACTTTCTCCTGGAGTTCTAACCAATCCTGCCGCATATCTAGCTCTATGGATATTCAAGGATCTAAGTTACTGAATATTGGAATTGTCCATCAAACTTTTTCCTTCAAAGCAGACCGATACGATCGATGACATAGGTATTGCTAAGATATCACGAGCCATCCTTCCAAGAAAAGGAAACCTTGAAGCATGTTCACCCCACCAAACAAGTACGTTAAACTCCATTTCCATAGGAATTACAGGTTCTGGTTCCTGATCATACCTATCAAATTCTGAGTTCCATGAAGCCTCGGTGTTAACATTCCTTTTAGAATTTTTCCACCTATTGAAAGATTTCATTGTACTTTCTTCACCATTCAGCAATGCCAAGGAATTAGTATCGTCGAAGACAGATGTCCCACTGTACATATTACTTGCATATTCATTGAAAATATCAGTGAGAGAGCTACGAATGATTGCCAAGTGAATCCGGGCTGCATCATAGCCATAGATTTTGTTATATGAGAACTCCACAAAATCAAATTTAAACCGTGGATCAAGAATAGCTGCAATTGCCAAAACCAAGCTACACGTCCTCCAATTGTTATCAGATATCACATTCATCAATGGATAGCCTTTTCTTTCCTGCTGACTCAGTTTGTTATATTTATTATAAATGTCCAGCAAACATGAACTTGAAGTTTTGACGGCACCATCAATAGATTTTCCGACATCTTGAAGCATGCCACCTGGTTGATCCTTAGCAAGGAGACCATTAATGCACCCATCACATCTGATGTAAAATGTGCTCAAAGGATGTGAAGCTTGGAAACAGAGCCAGGCTTTTCTTATCTCTTCAGCTATCTCCAAATTTGAGGACGAATTATGTATGATTAAGGAGCAAACTTTCACGTTAAAATTCCAGTCCCTAAGCAATCTCTTGAAATTTTCAAGGAAAATCCTTGTGTCAAATTCAGACCCTAAATTTTTCAAGGCAAGAACTTTCTTCTTCAATTCCCAATTGTCATCAATAAATTGGACAGTAAAATAACAATGAGTAATCTTTTCAAGATCATTTGCCCACAAACTGATTGTCAAATTAAAACGACAAGAGAGCTTATCAAAATATTCAAGGAGTCTATCCTTTTCTGCTTTATAGACACGAAATATGTCAGATGATAGAATTTCTTGCGATTGAAGTTTGAACCTTGGTTGCAAATTTTTCAAAAGAGTGCTGAAATATTCATCCTCAACTATATTCAATGGGCACTGATGCTTAATAATCATTCTTGCAACATCCATGCGACTCCTATCATGATCAAATGAAGAATTACCTTGTTGATCTTCAACTTTGGAAGAATTACCTTGTTTGTCTCCAATTTTGATTCTTTTGCTTTTACAATGTTCCAAGTGATTTCTTAGGTGCGAAGTTCCTTTCCTACTTGAACCATCAAACTCTCTACCACAATGTGAACATTTAGCACATTCTTTCCCATCGCCATATTTTTCCTTGGTAAATTCATCCCAAACATCAGATCTCAACTTTCTTCCTTTAGCACTTGAGATAGATAAGTCATTTACATATGCTTTTACTTTCTCATTCTCAATTGGTTCAAGAAAAGTTTGTTTTCCACTTTCCTAGCACAAGAAGCAAACAAGAGGACAAATTATGCGCCAAATCCATGGTAAGAAAACAGCAAATTATTTCATTTGAAGAATGCACTTACACATATTTTCACAAACGCTTCAAATAGGTTTAGAAAAAAAAGGTAAAATAGGTATATTTATAATATAAAATTTCTTCATGATCTTTTATATTCGTGTCGAGTATTTGGTTTTACTCCTTTTTCTCCCTAAGGGTAGCGTTTTGTATATATAAACTAACTCAGATGTTATTTATTCTTAGACTAAGACCTTAAAGTTCTTACCAAACATACAGATATAAAAACATGGCTTTGATATCAAAATTGCCTTAAGCATTAAAGACAATACCATAGTTAAACAAAATTAATTATGAAATGCTTGGAATTTGGATAAAACTTTGGAACATACCTAGCAGTTTCATTCTTCAAAATATAAATTAATATATCATACGTACTTTATAATTTTCATCACTTTCAGATTTTAAAATTCAAATGATACAAATTCCTTAAGTTACATTTTTTTTTTCAATTCTAAGAAAAAGACGAAGATACACGTTCCTCACCAATATTACACGATTTTACTATAACTATAAATATCTATACCCTAAAAATATTTTTCTGAAGCACAAAGTGTAGAGATATAACTATCCAACTAATTAGAGGTCAATAAATAGTTAGATTTTCTTGCTTTAGATCAATTTGTAGGTAAAAAAAGAATAATTAATACAAAATAGTTATGAAAAAATTAAGAGTACGTGCTTAATTCAATTATCCCTAGATATATAGTGAGAAAAGCAAATGTTATTATCTAGGTGGTGATGGAGCATGAACAGGTATAATGATGTTTATATACTCCTAAAAGCAAATGTTATTATCATTTGACCCGCCAATGCTAATTTATGACCTAAAATATATAGGATAATGTAAATACAAATAAGATGGTACCTGCTCATTAAGCCCTTGTATTTCCAGTACTGCATAATCATCCCCTGGAACCGTGAACTGGTGGAGAGCGTTGGAATTTAAAAATTGGGCGTTAGATGAAGCTGGTGGAGAGCTCCTCATAGGCATTGCCGCCCGCGGAATGTTTGGAATGGCTTCTTCCTGCAAACCGACTTCGGTGCCATCAACTCTTAGCTTTACAAACTTTTTCTTCATATTTTTCACGTCTTCGAATATACGAAGTGCCAAGGATTTTGGTTCCTCAAATATTTCCTTAAATGGGGGCAAAAAGAATTCTAGTATATAAACATCACCAGAATCATAACGGTTTACTAGACAGATCGCAAGGACCGCTTCTAAGCCTGAATCCAGTGCATCCTGAGCAAATGGATAGTCTCTGAGCCGAGTAATATTTGGTTCAAAAAGGAAGGGCTCCTTTGATTGAAGCGCTTGTCCAGCAATAGCTTGCCTTTCTAGAAGATTACGTTTTGCACATCGTTCCACGAAAGACCCTTTCGAAATAATTTCGTTATAATAATAATAACGATAATAATTAATATAAGAGCAAGTAGTTTCAATGGATAGAAAATGTTTCTCGTTTGGACTTGACATGCTTCTATTCGGGGTTCGCTTCACCCATGTTAAAGCCAATGGAAGCTCATATTTCAAACATACATCTTCTAACATGTCATATATCTCAGCAAAGCCAGCCAATCGGTTCAATGAGGAAGCCTGTTAATTAACAAAGGTAATAATGAATTACTAAGAGCAAAAAAAGAAAATCCAAAATAACACTTGAGAAGAAGCACAACCCCTCCTCAGGCTAACGCTTGTTTTCGGACCATTTTGTATGCAACTTAATTCTAAGTACCTTGCTAATGGCATCTTTCATCCAGAAACAATACAACACTATGGATCCTTCGTTCCACAAATAGCAAATAAGACATACAAAACGTTCAAAATATGTAACCTCCAGGCAAGTTAATATGGCTAAAGAGCCTTTTTGCCAAAGAATGAAGTGGTTTCCTGCTTTCAAATGTTACTTTTTCTTATTTTTTGTTTTTTGTTTTTAACATATATATACTAGTTCACATTCGAATTGCAACTTTTTTTGTCAATGTATTAGAGGAATCCTAGCTTTTCTTGTTAATAGCAAGGAATGTCTGTAATTACATGCTTTCAAATCAATCTCAAGATTTGTAATAATTTACTATACAAGTGTTACCCTTAAAATATATTCTTGGGTGAAATTTTATATTTTTTTTGTACTTCAAAAACTACTAGTAAACTTTTGGCCATCTCCAGGCAACCAAACTTTTTTTAATTGGTAGAAAAGCTTTTTCGTAATACATTTTTTAAAAAATTATTTTTCACTGAATAAATAGATTTGAACTCAAATTTTAATATGTTTTAAACTATCTTTATCTTTATCTTTTATATGTAGTGAACAACATATATATTATTAATAATTTATTAAATTAATAATTTTGTCCTTCATTAATGATTTTTTATTAAATTAAAACGTTAACTGATTTTTATTTATTTGGTTAGTAACATTTAAGTCTTTATTCAAGTAAATTTTCTTTAAATGATGATATTTTTATTAAATTAATTATTGATTAATTTTTATCTATCAATTTCCTTATTAATCTTGAACTATTTACTAAAATAAAATTTTCTTTACTTTAAAATAAAGTAAAACATTCTTAATAAAATTTAAATCTAGCTAAATCAAAAACTATAATTTTTTTTATTGAATCATTAATGAATTTAAATATTTATGAGAGTACAAAGCTAGTTTGAATTCTTTAATGAATCAATAAGATAAAATTTACTACTCATCTTTGAACAAGTACAATTTTATCACTATATTTTTTAATATGATTCAAAAATTATAAAAATTTAACTCTAAAAAAAACACTCTAGAAAGAAATAAAGAAATTTTTCTAATTTTGACTATGCTGCATCAATTAAAAATTATATTCCTAAAATTTCAATCGTTCGGAGATAGATGCTATATTTGATCAATCACCCTATAATAAGGAAATTTTGTAAGTTAAAACTAGAGTGGAAATCTTTTATGGCCTTGTTTAGGAGACTTGAAAGAAAAATAAAGGAAGGAAACGTTAGTACCAGCGGGTCAACTTGTAAAGGTCGGACTGTGTCTTCTGATGCAGGATTTGGATTGAAACCTATAATGAAAGTTTATGGAAGTGTTATCATTATACAAAATATAATTTCTAAGCTAAATAACAATTAAGTCAAGAAAGGCCAATGAAGATGCATTAAGGGTCAAGGATCCAATTATTACCTCTCCTACATTACTAGTTTTATGGTCAAATTTTAACAGTTGAGTAAAAAATGCAGTGAACGTAGAATATTCTGTTGCCATACAAGAAGAAGAAGAGAGATAGAAAAATAGAAGTGAGGAAAGGGATTGGAAAATCTAAAGCTTGGTTTGGTCGTCCACATGGACCTAGAGTCAGTCAGCTTGATTTGGGATGGCGAGAGGGCAGCCAAAAAAAAAAAGAGGGAAAGGATTACGAATACTATGAAAATGAGTGAAGAAAGAATCAGAAATCGAGAGTGAGAGAGAGAGAATAGCCAAGTAGCGAGGGGAAAGAGAAGAGCAAGGCGACATGGGGGAAGGACGAAAAGCCGGGGTCTGGGTCAGGCCAATGGCCACCAATGCTTATCCAATGTTGGTCGACCAAATTCGGCACAAAAATTATGAAAACCTTCGAGGAGAGACAAAGGAACAAGGATAGGGAAATGGAATAAAAAAGAAGGGTGGATGCTAATATTTGGTGTAGGCTGGTCACCATTAAAATGATGAAATCAAAATTTAACTACTAAATCTTAAACTCCAAAATTACATAAGAACATAAAACATATTAGAGATTTTATGAATACATATACCATATAAGGTACAACATGATGAAAATGCCCTAACCCCATGACATGGAAAATGACAAGAATGCCCCTAAATATATATGGCATAATATATGTCAAAAATATATGTACTTAGAGTTGTATGACATATTGAATGATGAAAATATCCTTAATACCATGTTGCATATTATATTGTTCAAACTGCATATATAACATACTCTTATGATCCTAAGACTATGGGCTATAGTTCATGACAGTAAAATTACATAGCATAGTTCACGTTATTGCATAGCAACTTGAACTACATCTATATGTCATGCTATTGACATCATTATAACCTTAATGGCATACAATCTATCATAATTTTAATATCAACATTTATCTATATGGCATGTGCATTATATGGTTCAAACTATATACGGCATACTCTCATGATTCTAAAACTAGATGGCATAGTTCATCACCATAAAATTACATGGAATAGTGCATGTTATAGCATATAGCATAGCAACCTGAACTATATATAAATGTCATAAACCTTAATTGCATATAATTTATGACAATTTTATGACAACATTTTTCTATATGGCATATTATATGATAAATGTTCATATGGACAAGTTCTATCGACGCAGGCTTGGATATTATTACCAAGAGAAACTTGCTTGGATCTAGGTCTAAGAGTTGATTCAGCATGGCCTTGGATTGAATTGAATGAGTCACAGGCTCAGCTTTTGAGAGTCTGGACTCCTCTGGATCTTTTAGATTGGTGTAGAGTCGTTTGGGTTTGCAGTGACAGTGTGGGCTCATCTAAGCTCGAAGGGACATTTTGGGCTGGTTTAGACTCCTAGATTCTAGGACTTCTGAACTCCTTTAACTTGGAGATTACCAAATTGCAGTGGGAATTTCTAGTAGTAGAAGAGGAGAGGTGAGGATATCTAAATCTAATAAATTATAAGGTAAGTAGAAATGTGATGGAGTATTAATTGCTGAGATGAAATGGAGTGGACGGTCAAGATCAAAGGTGATGAACAACTCAGATTTCATGAAAATTTTAAATTTTATCTTCTAATAAAAATTATAATTTTTAAGAGATTTGTCATTTTAAAAATAAATGATTAGATAATTCAAAAAAATTAAAAATAAATCGATCTGAAAAATGCAATGTCAATTTACATTATGTGTTGATCAATACTGTAAGTTTGGTCAAATTCACTAATTTTCTGAATTCAAGCCTAAGTTGATGGACACTGTAAATAGTCAAAAAGTCAAAAAAGGTGAAAAAAAAATTAAAAATCTATCCAAATTGATAGTTATCCTAAAATATTTGAACTATTGATTGACACTTTTTGTGCCAATCGATATTCTTGCCTAATTTTTTATGAAAATTTCACTTCATTAAACGGAAATTAGATTTTAATTTTTCATTTATTAAAGTGCAAATTTTGGTACTTATAATAGTCATGCTACAAAAAAAAAAACAAAAGTGAAAAGGGAAAGGAAGAAGAGGGAAGGAAAAAAAAACTTCATGTCCATATTTTCTTTTTTATTTTTATTTTTTCAAATATCCAAATTTATTATTTTTATATTATTGAAAATTAAGAAATATTTCAGGAAACATTTTTTCTTTTTCCTTTTTGACTGATTCAAAGTTTGATGGTAAAATTTAAACACCAAATTGGATACTGATAAATTTGATTCTTATTCCTTAATCCTAAATTAAAATTTCATTGTATCAATACTTTAGAAAATAAAGTATATTTTCTAGTTGATTTATTCAAAAACTTTTAACAAATCAAAGAATAATTTTAATGATACTCCCTTGATCCCTTTTTCTTAGTCCCTTCTATTTTTTTTAGATGTGTCAAAGTTGTGTTCTTTTTTCTTTTTTTGAACACAAACTACTCTTTTTTATACATATTTCAAATTTCCTTTCAATGATTTTTTTTTCCTCTTTTGTTATTAAAAACCTTGAAACATCATTTATTTTATAAAAAGATATATAAAATTTTAATATAAGATAGACTGATTTGAAATTCTTTTTCCTAAATTTTGTGAAAATCAAAGACATAAAAAATGAGATTGAAGTAGCTTTATGTCATTAAAAGGGAGATGGATCAAATAATGAACCTGTGTAATTGCCCTAAACAAGTATATCACCTATAGATAATTGTATTATCATTATGGGCGCCATAAAACACGGCTATAATGGAATGTGAATTTATTTATTCTACTTTGTAAAACATTGCCATAAGAAATATACCTTGGACACGGTTATAGCTGATTGGATTGAAGTGGTCCACCGCATCTCTGTGTTTCCAAGCCGATATGAAAGATATTGGGCCATCGACCCAGCGTCGAAAAACCAAACACCCATTATCCTCATATAGGAAACACGGGGTATGCGGCCGGAGTGGAACTTGAAGAAGGCCATTCGCTAGCAAGAGGGATCGCCATTGGGCCCAAGTCTGGTGTCGCTCAAGTCGGTCTCTCCCTTCACATTCCACTATGTTACCTATCTGTCGTCTACGATGACATCTCATACAGTGAGAGGAATACAAAGGGCCGCAATATTGAAAAGATTCCTGCAACCGTTTGATGAAATTGGGGTCATTATGGTCAGCATGTTGCTCTTCTATAATCACAATCTCTGGGTTTATCTGCCTCAACTTTAACAACTCTCTCTCCATTGCTCTTGCATCTGCCAGCAACTGGTGAAGTTTACCCTGATAATAGACGATTACGGTCTCATCCTTTGTCCTTGTGAAATCCGACTTAGACGCATCCACATCACCCAAACTATTGGCATAAACCACTCTCAAGTCCTCCAACTTAATTCCAAGTCTCAAGGCCTTCGCGGTGAGATCCTGCTTGCTTTTTTCTTGATAGATTTTTCCTATTTTTTCCAGAAATGGTGATACTATGACACTTATACGGACTGATAGAGAATCACCGGAAGCAGTATATAGTGATCCAAACAAGCAATCCGATAAATCTAAAGGTAAGCAGAAGGTAATGAGGTGAAATCGCTTCTTTCCCATGCAGGCAGTAGTCTTGATGGCATCAAAGGGTAAAAAATAAAGCGGAGTCAAGGCTGGAGGAGTCAGCAAAGTGAAATAGGCACTGGGAGAAGAAAGTCCGTAAGCTCGGCGAACCAGAGCTTCCGCAAAGAATTTCACAACATCGCTTTTTCGCAGGTCGGCAGCAAGATTCCAGATCCGCTCCAGGAGTGAATCGGCAAGTTTCAGATTCCGGTCTTGAATAGCTTCAGCGCAGGCGACTAAAGCCTCCAAGGCCTCTGAAGCAGAAGAGGCCATCAGTGCACGCAAATACTAGAACTTTGGTTGCAGCAAAATTGGAAATATGACAGTGCAGGACTCGTTGAGATCAAAAAAAGTAAAGCGAATTGGGTGGCATCAAACATTTGCACTTTTAAATATAAGAAGACGAAAACGTTTCCAGCGATAGCGTGTCCCCAGATTATACTTTTATTTTAGATAAAAAAAGTTCTTTGGCAATCTTTGGCTTGAAAACCAAGCTGGTTTACATGCCACTAGGAGTCTTTGGCAGTTTCAGCTAGAGACTAGCAATGGCATACCGGACATTTGGCTAATAAAATTCACTTTTCAAAAAAAATAATTAATTAATTATCATTAATAAAAATTATACTTATTATTTTATATTTATAAAATATTGACATGACATTAATATAAAAAGTAAAAAATATTGTATGGTCACATTAACATGTTATGTCATTATCTATTATAGTATGTTAATATATTATATCATAATAATTATAACATATTAACATATCACATCAACCTATGTGATCTAGAATGACATTTTGACTAAATAAATTATTAATTATTAAAATTTATTTTATTCAAAATAAAAATATACAGACATATTTGATACAAAATAAAATTATAAAAAATGAATTAAACGTATTAAAAGTATATAACTTATTTGAATTTTTTTTGAATAATTTAAAAAAAATAAATATTAATCCAAATAAATTTAAAAACAATGAGCAGTAGTGATGAAGATAGTGAAAATTGAAAAAGAATAGATAAATGAGAAGCATTCTAAGAAAAAGAATAAAGCCACTGAGAAATTGCCTTTTTTCATTAGGGAGGCCATTGCTTTTTTGGGAATTACGAACCTCGTTATTGTTGCTATGTAGTTAAGTTTGGTCCTGAACTATATGAGTTTAGAATAGTATTAACACGACAACAAACAAGGAGACGGAGAACAGAGTCCATGTAGCGAACTTTAGGTTCAATGGAAAAGGAATTGCAGTGGCGTGGCAAAATGCTGCGGCTGCTAATAACAGTGCAACTTTTTCCAACACTTGTGAAGTTCTGGCATGGTTTTGGCTGATAAATAATGCAACCAAGAGTATGACAAATATAAGCAAGACAGCAAAAGAAAGCAGCACAAAGGAAAAAGGGAGCTCCTTGTCCTTGGATTGATCGGTTTGTGAAAATTGGGGAGAGAATCCAAGGGCAAAAGTGAAGCAAAATGTCAAGATTGCACTTTGCCACTGTAGATGCCGCTGAGCAGCGAGTAAATTAAGTAGTTGTGACTCCGCATTGAAGGAAGGGGACGTTGACGGTGGTGGTGGCAGAGGCAGTGTCGACGGCGGCGATATTTCTAAGTCGGTAACAGGAGAAGGCAGTGATGATGGCTGCTGCTGTTGTAATTGAGGTGACTGTGATCTTGTTGTGTCTAATTCAGGACAAAGTCGGAGGACAAGTGCTGCAATTAGATCAAGAAATGCTTTAACTTTCTCTTGAATAATGCCCATCACGTTTATTTGTACTTAACACCAATTGCATCAACCTTGTTTTGTGTGTGTATATATTTATAGTGGGCAAACACAGGCGATAAGGAGAAAAGTGAATAAAAAAAAGGTTAAAAGAATGTGTAAGCTTAAACGCACTTTGACAATATGAAAAAAAATGAAAAGATCCGATTATCACCTGCGAATTTCCTATACTTTATGAAAAAAATGTGAATTTGATGATGACTAAAAATCCCAAATGCATAAGCCTTTTATGCCAAGAGGATACGACATGGGGCGGGGCCACTGGGGTCATTGCTTGAATGCTTTTGGGCTTTTTGCTTAGTTAGCAGGGCAAAGAGAAAGGAATACACAGTACGCTTGGGGTATTGGACTTTTGTTCACCCGCACAAACTATTCTTAAACAACTTATCGGATCGAGGTTTGGTGTTCCCTCGCAAACAGACCATCAAAAGAAAGAACAAAGCAAGAGAGAGAGAAGGTTAAGCTAAAGGTACTTAAAAAATAAGATAGAAGACGTGTGGTGACTTTCTGTTGAACACAAGAAAATGTGTGTTTAAGTTTTAAGGACCGAAATTCGGATCTTATGGCTCTCACCGCGGGCAGGCAGTTGGAAGGGAAGGTCCGATAGATGGAGACAAGAAAAAAAATGAGTGCAAAAAGAGGCCCGCTCGGCTTAATACGAAATGACTCTCTTTTTTCTTACCTTCTTTTGGTTTACCGCAATTCCTCCACCTCATATTTTAGCTGAAATTAAAATGAAAAAAAAAAGACCGATGAACCAAGCATGTAAAGACATTATTATTAATTTTTACGTATGATATTAGATTAACTAGTAATATCTGGATTCAATATTTAAGAACTGCACCTATATATTTCATCTTAAACCCTAATTAACCCTAATAAAGAGAACTCCTGATTTATGCTTAATTTTTAGAGATGCAAATTAAGTGCATCGCACCTATATATTTCATCCTCTAAAATGCTTATCATGGTAGTTTCTTTTGCATGATAATCAAATGCTACATTATCAGGAAAAGGCGGTGATGATGGCTGCTGCTGTTGTGACGGGGATGACTGTGACCTCGTCATGTCTTGAACGCCAATTGCATCAATCTTGTTGCGTGTGTGTACAAATAGTAGGCAAAACCCTTTTGTCCATACGGAGAACACTGAAAAGATCCGATTATTGCATCCGAATCTCTTGCACTCGGATCCAACTATGACTAGAAGAATCCAAAAATCACCGGCTTTGACAGTGTAAGGAAAATGTATAAGCCTTTTTTAAGTCAAGCGGATAGCACATGGACCTGGCCCACTGTGGCCATTGTCTTGAATACTTTTTGTTAGTCGGGAGGCAAAGAGAAAGAAAATACACAATACACTTGGGGCCTTGGACTTTGGTTCACCTGCGCAAACTACTCCGAAGCAACTTATCGGATTATAGTTTGATGTTTCCTCGCAAACAGACCATCAAAAGAGAGAAAAAAACAACACAGAGAGAGAAAAGCTTAAGCTAAAGGTACTTAAAAATTGAGATAGACTTTATGTTAGAACACTAGCAAATATGTGTTAAAGTTTTAAGCATTGGCCCCAGAAGAAAGGCAAATAAATGAAGACAAAGAAGAAAACGAGTGCTGAGAGGAGGACCGGCTCGGATTAATGTCAAATGAATTTTTGTTCTTAGGAAGTTTCTTATGAATTTTCTTATCCTTCTTTTGGTTTGCAGCAATTCTTGTACTTGATATTTTAGCCGAAAGAAAGATGAAAAAAAGAATGATGAACCAAACGCACAAAGACATTCTTTTTTTTTTTTTTTATACTTGTGATATTAGATTAACTAGTAATATCCCGATTAAACATTTAAAAATTACACCTATATATTTCGTTTGAAGTACCCTAAACCCTATAAAGAGAACTTGTGATTTGTGCTTAAATTTTAAAGGCACAAATTAAGTGCGCCTATATATTTCATCCTCTAGAATGTTATTCTACACATGAGTACCTCTCTTGAAAATTTTCGTTTTTATTAAAAAATTTAAACCAGCTAACCAAACAAACGAACCATTTAGATTTGAGTTTTAAAACTCTTACTTACCCTAAATAAGAGTTAATAATAGTTTTTGGTATTTTACCGAAATATGTTTTTATTTTTCTCAATTAGAATAAATATGTAACTGTGAATGAAGTTGTTAATACATCACCCAAACTTATAGCGTAAACTACTTTCAACTGCTTCGACTTAACTAACTGCCTGCTTTGCCTAATACAGTATCCGGAACCTTCTAGTGCATGGGCTGATTGGCCTGCCTCCAAAACCTTCAGCTATCCACCTTGCTTGGTGCTCTACAAACTTTTGGTCAGTTTAACGAAATACCATTTATAAAATGAAATACTAAAAGCTTCATTAGTTCTCTCAAATAAGGACAGCTTGCTTACTTCTTTTGCATAGGAATATTTTCCGGGACATGAAACGGCCAACCCTTGGCATTATTATGACCCATGGATGGCAATAGAAACTCTGAAAACCACCGCCTGATCACCTGCTTCTCTGAAGCATTGAACATTCGAGAATATTCGTTTGGATCCAACCATAGCAATTTTTTATCGTCAATGTCAGCATAAAAAAGAAGCCAATGTTCACGCAAACACGTGGGCAGAAACAACTGCAATGAGTCAGTGACAGAAAAACCAAAGTGTTAATTGTGCCTACCTATAGATTACCAGTGATGACATTGCATTAAGCAGACTAACCTATAGGGAATAAAAAGACATTACCTTGCTCACGCCTTTCAAGTCCTCTTGTTTAACCCAACTTAACACTTCATATTCGGCCTTTGATCCGTTAATCAAGAAAGTCTGAGTTCATCATATGTAGTTGAAAAGTTATTCTCATGCCGACTATCAGACACATGTAAAAAAAAATCTTAATTATGATTTTGAATAAAAGGTCCTTACAGCTGTAGCAGAATCGAAGGAATGGTGCTTCAGGTATTTATGTGGGAACTTCTCATACCTTCTTTTAAGCAAAATGAAGAACTGATTCACAACCTTCAAATATGGGCAAGGCACGTCGCAATATGTGCATTCAGCTTATAATTTCAAGCTACTAGTATATTTCCAAGAAATTAAAAAAAATGAAAAAGAAATATTATTTTGAAAGGACACTAACCGTATCCTCGACATAGTAATTTCTTGCATCTCCCGAACCAATATCATCTCGAGGAATTCTAAGCAAAGGTGCTAATGCTTTATCCTGTATCTTATCTCGTCCAATTACTTCCTTTGAAAACAGAATAACAAATAAATAAATTTTATTATGATTACAATAATATCAACCTTTAATTAAACTATCATATTTGAGAGGATGTATCATGTAATAGCACACATACGTACCCATTTATTTCATGATTTTGCCATTTGCTCAAATATTTTATTTCTTTTTCTGTTAAAAGAGTGATCAAATATTCCCGAACATCCTACAAAAATTCAAAAGACCTACAAAACTATACTATTAAACAAAAATGTGCATTCTTTCTAAGATTGTCCTTTCAAAAATTTATCACAAAATTGAAGTTACAAGCAAGTTCATCAAAATATTGTTAAAGTTTTTGCTTGGTTGCAATTTTTCATAAATGTTTTGAAATTTTTGTTCGAAACTTTGTGAAATATGTACAATTGTATTTTATCATCATAATTATAAATCTCAATATATAAAAACTCCATAAATTAAAATTTTAGTCATGAGTTAAAAATAGTTACAATAACGAAAACTAAATTACATTCTCCACAAATTACGTTAGTTTCCCGATAAATAACACAAGAGTATTTAGTGAAATGAAAAGGTTTTGAAGTAAATGAAGTCACCTGGGAGGACAAATTGACTTCTGCACCTTCAAGCAAAACATTAAAAAGTTCCAAGTTAACCAATCAATGAGGATGTTGACAGATTGAGTGGGATGGATGTAGTGAGCCAATTTTTGTATAAGACAAGTAGAATTGTCTAGCAGATTAAGTCCTTTATACCTTAAGGAAAAATGCTCTTATTTCAAACATTGTAATGACACTTGGCATATTTAAAAATGCTTGCTAAGTTTTTAAAAGAAAACCTTGTCTCCATTTCATGCATGGTAATAGCACTTGATGACATATGTGTAAAAGCTCGTTATTCCTTTATAAGGGTGAGCAGTTGGCAGATTATTGAGTTACCTTATAATTAAGGTATGTTTGTAGTTAATTATTTAAGGTTGTCCATATGACCCAACGGTAACACATTGGTACTCTCCGTCTTTTTGTACATATTTTTAATATTAATAAAATATTTTTCCAGTGGTTGTGTATATAACATTCTTTATATCCTATAATTTCAATATTACTTTTGCATAAACTAACTCATGGCTAATATTGATGTTTGATCCGATATAATCGAGTTACTTGGGTTGTGTGGAAATATCTACTCGAGCACTCCATAAACTTTCGGCTGCTTAAACCAAGGGACATAGTTCGTGACGCTTAACAAGTTTAACGTTGCACACCTACTTTAGCACAGTATTCGAGAATTAAGACAAGAGTATGTAATATTGCTCAAGTTGCTAGAATATTCCGTGTAACAAATGAAGATAAAGCACCTTTTGCACAGGAGAGCTCCTCACAAAGAATGGGTTGTTCTAAACCCTTTAAAACTTTCCTAAGACCTAAAACCTCCCCAGGACTCTTTAGAATCTATACAAGATATTTACATTAAGGTGCTGCCAAAACACCTTGGATCCAAAACCTTCCATCACTCCTAGTGCTACCTAATCTACACGTCAAAATCATTTAGACTTTGTTATTGCCTGATTTGCCTAGTATTGTTTCTAGAACCTTCTAGGGCTTATGCTACCCAGCTTGCCTCCAAAACCTTTATTTGTCAAGCTTGCTTCGGGCTTTAGAACTTCTGGTTAATTATGCCTCCATCAACACACTGCCCTGTAACTTGAACTTGAGTCTTCTGACTCTCTAGCCCACTTTCACTTGGGCAAGCACCCTTCAGCCGCATTTGTAGCATACTCGAGTTCAGACATGGGCATGGGCCATGACACAAGTAGTAGTATTTTTGTTCATTGACGAAAAAAATTTCAATCAATATAAGAGTAATTATCACAAGTTGTCCATGGGTCTCATAGCCCACCAGACTTGCAAGTCCAATTTGACTTGGGTTGGGCTTTGGACAAGACATTTTAGATCCAACTCAATTCGATATATTATTATATTAGTGCAAACTTTTTTTTTTTAAATTTAGTTTTAGGGGTAAAATACACTAAGACCTTTGGCTTTTAACAATAATTGTACATGAGTCTTGTAGCCTACAAAGTAGACACTTTACCTCAAACATGTAAATGATATTAATATTTAAAATATTTTTTTATCTTTTTTAAAATTAATCGACGTGTTTTCTATCTCTACTAACCACTCGTAGTCAAATTTGACTTAGATCCCATCAAATTTCTCATAGATAACCAAATTTGGTGCTCCCATGACCACCAAGACCGGTGCTCCCCAAGGAACACTGGATCTGTGCTCCATGGGGAGCACGTAAATGGGAAGCACCGATAAACTCGATGATCCCTAGCTCGATTTGGCTAGATCTGGCACTTTTTTGCTAGATATGGCCATGGGGTTGTTGATTGTGAGGTGGTTGATGGTTGGACATAAGGTAGAAGTTTTTTTTGAAAAATTATAATTTAATAATTTTTAAAATTAATAAAGAGTAAAATTATTCTTTTAGTAATGCCACATCATCAAACTAATAACAATATTATGAGTTGATTAATAATTAAACATATATGTTTAGTGAAAGATTTTTTTTTTAAGTAGAGTGTTCAATTTGAAAACTAGTAGACCCGCGTATAATTATGGTTAAAAGTTATATTAGTTTATTTTATCTTTAGTTTTAATATTATTTAAAAATATTAAAATATTAATATAAAAATATTTTTATATTTTAATAATAAATTTAATTTAAACAAGTTTAAATGGACAGGTCAGACTCGATTTTTAAACTAATTTTTGGATATGACAACTAAGTGTCTATTTAATCTAATTTATTTTTAATTTATCTACTTCTTAAAAGTAAAAATTAAGCCAAACAGTATTTTGTGAGAAGTTCTTAAAAAAAATAACTTTTTTCAAAGAACAAAATATAAAAAAAAAAGCTTAAAAAAAGCTACAAATAGGAATGTTTTAGTTTTTCTTTTTTAAAAACACAAACTTTTTAGAAGAGTTATTTTTTTTTCAAAAATATCCTCTTGTAAAAAATATCCCTCCCTCTCTCTCTATCAATCTCCCTTTTCTCTCCCCATTTTGCAAATCATCCATGATTTTTTTGGTCTTATAAAAATTAAGGAAAAAAACCCAAAATTGAAAACTACATTCAGTTATTATTTCTTCTTTTTTTTTTTACTTTGAAAACTCTTTTTATTGTTTAATATTTTTCAATTCATTATTTGATATGACAATTATGTGATGTTTATTTGTTCTTAACTTCTTTATGATGTATATAATATTTATTGTTTATTATTGAAATAATTAGTCAAATAGGTAAATAATTATTGAGATAAATTAGATGAAAATTGAAAAGTCAATATTTGTACTCATTTGTAGTAATTTAGTTTTAAAGAATTTTTTTTAAATATAATAATAGGCCGCATTATAAGAAAATTGAAACAGACTTTAATTACTTTGGCAATAGGAATTACAGAATTCGTAAACTTCTTAAGAATTTCATATTTGAGCTAACAATACCCATCAGATGATGTGGCATTTCTTGACAAAATAAATAATTTATTAAAAATAAAAAATATATAAAATCTAAAACATTTTTATTTATAGAGGGGAACTTTGTTAGTCAATACGATAAACTTACATGTAATTAGAGTTGTCGATTTCAATAGGAAAATGAATTATCAAATCAATGGCTAAACATGAGTTTCTTGACTTAGTTGGATCTATTACTAATACTATCTTAAGGTTTTTTCCTTATATATAACATTAATTTTGTTCAGTTCAAAAGGTCAAGTCAATCTTTTAATATAATTATAGTTGTGACTTTCTATATTTAATAATAAATTAATTATTTTCATCTACGATAAGTTTGAAATTCTAATTCATTAAGGATTGGATGACAATTTCTTAGATTTTTTATTCGATAAACAATTCATTCGATTTTTAATGTTAGAAAATTGAGAAACTTAAAATCATTTCTTCGAACTTATTCACTGTTATGTATTAAAATGGCACGACCTCCATACTTTTTTTTTTCCAAGAGTACTGAAACTATTAAGGAAGACACCATTATCATACTTAGAGTTGATTGATCAATTAATCAAATATGACATGTACTAACGAGTATTGATTATTATTGACATCAATGGAACTTAAGAAAATCCAAAAATTTATGATCATGACTTGTATTAAGAACAAGTATTCTTACAATTGATCATTCATGACATGTTCAAACAAATTGATTCGAAAATGTGATATGACTAAAGAATTGAAATAAGAAATTGATAAGAAGTGAAAATTGCCTCGATGATTTCATTTCATGCTAAGATCATTATAATACAAAAGTATAGCGGTTGGATAAACCTACAAGTTTGAATACAAGTGTGTTCAAATAAGATGATATAAACACTTAAAGTACTGATGATAAAGATTGAATATTGAATCTATTAGCTTGACATTTTCTTCTTCTTCTTCTTATCAAGTCGATTCTTCTCTCCATGGCAAGTATTTCAACTGATGCAACGGTGTTAATCGATGGTGGTGCTGAAGATGTTGTTGCAGTGGTGCTGATCCATTTCCTTTGATATATTTGATATGCATCCTTTTATCAAAACACTTACATATAATGAATCAAACTAATTCTTGTTTAGAAAAAAAAAATCATTTGCGCTTAATTTTTAATTTTGTTATTATATATATAATATTTAAAATATATAAATATATCATTTTATATATTATTTTTAGTTATTTTTTATGTAAAATTTTAAATTTAAAATTAAATTTAAGAAAAATACAAAAATTGACATAATGGAAATTTTGAAATAATTTTAAACAAAAGCTTTAAGTTTAAGAGCCTGTTTGACCTAACTTTTTTTTAGCTTAAAAGCTATTATGAAACTCTTATAAAAAATAATAGCTTTTAGAATTAAGTTAAAGTTGTTTGATAAATTTTTTTTTATAAGTTATAATTTTGATTAAAATTATTGTAAATAGTATTTTTTTTAGAGAGTTATATTGTAATTATTTTTTTTAAGAGTTTTTCAAAATTTATATTTAGTCTGACTTTTACTTTTAAGAGATAGATAACTTGAAAAAAAATCAAGTCAAACAATCACTAACTTTTAGTAATATGATAAAAATGATATATAATAGCTATAACCTTCAAAACTAAGAATCCTAACAGGTCCCCAAATATCATTACATAAAAAATGAAAGAAGTCTTATACGCACTAAACTAGATTTATTGAAAGGAAACCTATGAATCTTACTGCAGCCAAGGGTGACCATGTGAAAAAGTCAGTCTACAAGTGAAAGGGCAACAGGTTTTATTAAGAGTTTGGTTTCTTGAAAAGTATAAACTCCGCCCTTACTCGGGCCTTGATCAAGTGATCTCTTGGTAAGATTTTTCACCAAGCAAAATTGAATATAATTATATAAAAATATTTGAGTTTTAGATATTTTAAAATAAATTAACATCATACGAATTTATTTTTTTATAAAATTGTTAATGAATCGATTTAACATTTTATAAAGAGGTCCTTTGTTTCTTTATTCTTACAAAAAAAGTTATTTTAATTTGCATACCAAATTATGACATAATTTTATTCAAATTTTGTTAAAATATTTTATTTTTGATCAATAAATTTTATTAAAAATCTAAAGCAAAGATAATATGAAAAAAAAAACAAAGAAAAACAGTAAACAAACAATTTACTTGAAGGAATATATAAGGAAAGAAGAGAGGAAAATTGAGGAGGAGATAAAAAAGCAAAGAAAAGAGAAGAAGAGCAACAAAAATGGGGGAAAATCAGTATAAATAAATAATAAAAAGGAGAGAGAGAGAGAGGGAGAGAGAGGAAACGGTCCAGCGATTGTAAAATGGCAACGGGGGAGAAGCTCCTCCTTCCCTTTCTCTTCGTCTCTGTTATTTTAGAATTCTTTAATGAATTTGAATGCCTTTGATTAGATCAACCAACGACGATCTCGATCAATCAAATGAAATGCTAATCAAAGTCCAAAATACGTGATTCGAATGTGAAATTTCGTCATTGTAGGAATTACTTTTGTTACTAATAAAGAAAGAGGGTGAATGGTGGTTGGAAAAGAGAAAAAGAAAAGGAGGAGGCGGAAGAGGTGGGTATTGTTTTGAGTGTAATGTCTTGTGGGGGAAAGGAAAAGCAATGGAGTTGTGGAAAAGCCGCCGCCGCCGCTGCAGCTGCCGGAGCCGTCAATATTCAAAGAGTTGGTTCTATCGTTCGCGACATTGGAGATCCTTGCCTTTCCCAATCTCCCATCAAGGTTGTCTTGGCTGTAAGATTGTTCCCTTAATCATTATATATATATATAAATGTGTTGAACGATAATCAAGCAATTTAATTTCTTATTCAATCAAAATTTAATTCTTTTATATTGTGTGGCTTATGTATCTAGTAGTATTAATCTGTGATGCCTTAAGATGAAAACTTTTTTCCTTCAAGCTTTATAAGGTCTTTAGATGCTAACATTTTGGCTTAAATGAGTCTCTTGTGCAGGAGCTAGGGTTTTATTTGAAAACTGGAAAGGATGTTATTACAAACATGAAAATTTTAATTGGTTACATTTTTTGTTTCAATAGTTTAAGGCATTGAACAAAAGTGAAATAAAAATAATTAGTAATTAAAAATTTTGTTGAATAATTAAGCCTTTTTGTTATCTCCTTTAATAGCTGAATTGGTAGCTTACAAAGTACAAAAGTTTGAATTGCGAGGGAAGGCATATATATCCCAAAAATCGGTTGCAACCAAACATTAATTAAAAGGGAGGTTTGTCTTTTTGAAAGTTGAATGCTGTGCTCTGGCTAACACATCTATATATGTGAAAAGGTACATTTTCTGGAAAAATGAGTTGAGATTATGCAATGTGAGTTCAAATTCATTGCAGCATTATACTCTTAGCACTGCTGGACTAATGAGTAATGAATGTTGTCCACATATTAGAAATGTTCCTTTACTCATTTCTCCCTTTTCCATTTTGGTAATTTTAATGGTTAGAGAGTGGCATAACTTATCTTGGTTTTGGAAAATTGATATATTTGAATATGTTCCTTTATCTATTTTTTCCATTTTCTAGTTTTGGTGTGACTGTGGGTACCTTATTTTTTATATTTATAAACTATGTACTTATGTTGCAGGTAAGCAAGATGCTTAAGCCAGAGAAGTGGCAGGCCACTTTTGATAACGAAGGGAAGGTTTCTGGTTTTCAGAAAGCACTCAAGTTTATTGTTTTGGGGGTATGTCTTATTTTTTTTTTTAAAAAAAAAAATCTTGTTCAACTAGCTAGTATTTTTGTTGTTCCTTCTTATTGCATTTTTTGTAAATCTGTTGGTATTTCGTTGGTACTTCTGGGACCTGGAATTGTGTTGATGGTCCATGGTAAGAACTACTGTCCTCAAGTAACTTTAATTTCTTTTGTTGAAATAAATAGTTCCAAATGTCAATAATCTGTCAATCATTATTCTTGCTTTCCTGACAGATTGTTTGTCTTAGTCATTTTCAAGGATATTTGCTGATATTCAAGTTCTATTTTGTTTTTTACTTATACCGCACCTATAGAAATATCTATACTTCATGCCTTTTTAAAGAATGTCTATATGGCATGGTTCATTTAAGGAGGTCTTACTGTTGATGGGAATGGGATAGGTTTAGAGAGTACCAACTTGTCCCAACCCTAATAGGACCTGTCAATCAATACCTTATATGATAATCAAACCCTATTGATTGAGAAAGAAAAGTCAAACCCAATCACATTTTCTTTAATTCTTTTTTTTTTTTTAGTATATCACTGTTGTTTATGGTAAATTGTATGCAAACTTATTATCATGTCACCAGTTTCTTGAATTTCTAACTTTTTGAAGACTAAAATTTAAAAGAGCCTAATATGTTGGGAATTAATTTTTTGTTTGGTCAGATGCCTGCTTTAACCCATTCCATCTCTAATTCTTGGGTGGCTTGGTTGGGGAACAGTACACATCGCTTATATGAATTTGCAGTTTTGGACATCGCCAAGTACCTAAATTTGTAAACACATTTGGGTTTTGTTTCAAGAAATTGCATGGTTTCCAACCCATTGCAACCTCTAGGCTTAATGACACTTCTCATCTTGTTTTGTTTGCATTCATGATGCTTGCTGTCCATTTTTTTACCTTCTCACGCACTTTTGGTATCACAGTGGGTTTGTTTTGCCTCATAACACTCTGCATCCTACCTGGTTCTTAGTTACTTGGATATAATTCACCATTGGGCTTCTTTAGTTTGCCACTTTTCTCTTATGGCATCTAAGCTCGTAAATAAAGGGTGGAAGATGACGTATGGTTTCAATCCTGAGCTTGGATGCACGATTGAATTAGAGAATAGAAAATACAAACTAGCAACTTCTTCTTTTGTTATGTTTGGCTCCATAGGATACACTTGTCTCCCCGTTAACCTTGACTAGCTTGAAGACTTTTAGGTGTTGTGCTGCTGTTTTTCAGTATTGTATTCGCTTTCCATATCCCCCCTTCCCCAGCCAAATATGCGCACATACACACTCACAATTTCTGCAGATAGTCAAAAATTGTAACAGCAATTTATCTCATGTGATGTTAGGGGGTTGATCCATCTATAAGACCAGAAGTTTGGGAATTTCTTCTAGGTTGCTATGCATTGGGGAGCACTGCAGACTACCGAAGGCAATTAAGGACAGCCCGAAGGTCTAGGCCTGTTCTTTTTCCTTTTATATTATACTAATATTTTTTTTCCTTGTAAGTGCCTATTTGTAGGCTGTTCTGTTTGCAAGTCAAACCAATCGAATACCCTTTTACAGTTGAATAGTCCTGTCTAATTGTTCTTTAGTTTCAACCATGGTTAGCTTTTGATCATTAATTTTTTTTTAATGATTATCTGCATTGTCCATTATTTCTCCTCTTTCTCAACAGATAGACAAATATGATCTTAGTCATCTGAAGGAAATAGCTACCCATGAAACACATCTTTGTGTTTGTCATTGTTTTCCTCATTGCTTATCAAATTATTGAAAGGTGTGATTTGTTGTTAGCAAAGTCTTATTTCTTGATGATTTGGTTTATACCAACTAGAATGGTACCTTTTTACAGGTTCTTTTTGGAAAGAATTATAATTTTACCATTATTAGCTTTTATTATATAAGGATAATGAAGTTTCTAGTTCATCCTTATCCACTTCACCCGCCATTTGCAAGCTACAACTTGTTTAAAAACCTACTGACTTTACATGGATACTATTGTTTTAAGTGCTGAGAAAAGAGCTCAAACTGCAAAACATTGAGAATGCAGAAAGGAGACAGGAGATTAACAGACAGTGACAAAATTAGGTGCCTTTTGCTTGGATAGAATTACTATAAGATCATGCTTCTATAATTCACTTTAAAATTATTTATATTCAAAACAAGTTTTGTACCTATCTGTGGGTTTGCTTTGAACTCTTAGTTCTATGCTTTGGTTGAGAGAATGATATACATTAGCTTTATTGAAGAAAACATATTTTCTTTATGGGAAAAGGCTCTCTCTTGCTAAAGCATGGGCAATGATGCATTTGCATCTAACTTGTTTACTGTAGTAGCTGGAAATGTTTTAGAAAATATCTCGATAGTGCTGGAAATGATGTGTATACCTCTATGCTTTGTTAAGATCAAGGCTCTGATTTGCTGATTTATGAATATTTAACAGCTTCATGGAAATGTATGCAGGGAACATTACAAGGACCTTGTGAAGCAATGCCAGACAATGCATTCAAGCATAGGAACTGGCTCACTTGCCTATAATGTGGGTTCAAAAGTTATGGATATGAGGACATCCTCCAAAGATGGGGGGAAAAGGGAATCAAAAGTTGAACGTAGACAAGCTTCCACTGATGATACTGATAAAACGGAGAAATATTCTGATTTGGGTAATAACGGTACTGATAAGTCATATGCCGACCCAAGAGAGAGTTGTAGTGATTTTGCTGACCTTGTCAGTGTGAGGGGAAATACTGAGACTGCTGCATATGACTCTTGTTTTTTATCAACTTCTGGTCCGTATGGCCGCTGTTCCTCAAAAATAGGGGGAGAATGTCACGGATCAGAATTCATAACCCAATGTCATTTTGATTTTCCTCCTTTACCAGTAACAGACTTGTTTGAGAAGAGTGAAGACGAGAAAGAATTTGATGCAAATGAGGAAGGGTATTCTGCACAATGTAAATTGATATTTGAGGATGACAATATGCATAGTTTTCAAATCAATAACAATGCTGATTTAATCATCGAATCAAATGTTTCACCCTCACTATCTAACAATATCTCATGTCCTTTTAACTCGGAAATTCAGTTGGTCCATCCTGATGCTTATGAGCCAGTTCTGAGATCCAACAATGTAAGTTATAAAACAGAAACAGTCAACAGATTAAGAATATCAGATGTTCCAGAAACACCTTTGGTAAATGCAACCATATCTCAAGAAGGGGCTGCCAATGATGAAAGAGTATCTGAATGGCTTTGGACTCTGCACAGAATAGGTGACTTAGTTACCTTGTGTTATTTGTATTGCAAAATATTTTTCCCTTTTTGTATAGCAATAGATAATTTGATACTGTTTATTTGGTTATTCTTCTCAGCTGACATAATTTTCCTTTTCTCAGTTGTTGATGTGGTGAGAACAGATAGTCATCTTGAGTTCTATGAGGATACAAGAAATTTAGCTAGAATGTCTGATATTCTTGCTGTTTATGCATGGGTTGATCCTGCAACTGGTTATTGTCAAGGTTTTAGCTTTCTACTCATAACACATTTTGTTGAACCTTTCTCTTGTTGAATTGCTATTTATCTGGTGCAAAACTGTGAAAGATTCAATTTGAAGTTTTGAGTGTTAAACGCTAATTGTTTTGGTTGGATTTTGATTAGGTATGAGTGACCTGCTGTCTCCTTTTGTTGTTCTCTTTGAGGATAATGCGGATGCATTTTGGTGCTTTGAGATGCTCCTTAGGAGAATGGTATTTTAAACTTGGTGAATGTGTTGATATTTATCATTTATGTTTTTTCCACTTACATCTGCTTTTCGACATGCCTCCAGCGTGAAAATTTTCAGATGGAGGGACCAACTGGTGTGATGAAGCAGCTGCAAGCATTGTGGCATATCTTGGAACTCACAGACAGGGAAATTTTTGCACATCTGTCGAATATAGGTGCTGAAAGCCTTCATTTTGCATTTCCAATGCTGCTGGTTTTATTTCGCCGAGAATTATCTTTCAATGAGGCTCTTCGTATGTGGGAGGTATGTGCTCTTAGTCTCATATAAAGCTGTCAGCTTTGTTGGAATTAATATATTTAGGTAACAATGAAGCAAGCATTGTGTTAAAATTTGAAAAGGTGCAATAGTCCCTAGATTGACGATAAAGCTAATGATAGAAAGGTAGAAAGCTTCTGGCACTAATTTTGATGCCTATTTAGAGCATTCCTTGTTGCTAGCATCTTCTTTATTGCACACTTGATTGGGACCCAATATTTCTGGATTTTTATGTCCTTTTTCTCTTTGTCTTTTGTTTTTTCTCCTTTTTCCGTCCTTGCCTTTTTTAGGGCCCTGCATGTTGTGATCAGTGATGGTTGTCTTACCCTAGATTAACTCCAACCTTGGACTGATGGTATATATAAATGCAGGTTCAGAAATCAACTTGGAGGAGTATAGACCCCATATTATTTCCAACTAGTAACTTTGAGTACTGCATCTATGAGGGTCCTTTTACAATATAAAGTTAAACAAAAAGGACCATAGGAAATGATTTGAAATTTCTAACAGATTTTCCTTTGTTCTGTAAAATGACAGGGATCATTATGAAACTATTTATATGGGAGCAATATATGATATTATTGGTTTGCATTTTAATTGAATCTCAAAATGTTGACTTGTTCTATTTTATTTTGTTGTCAATTTCAAGTCTTTCAATGTATGAGAAGATGTTAATGAGCATGGTTCTTAAAATTGAGCATTAGCCTATGAGGGATGCTAAGATAAAAAAGTTCTATGAGATCACAAGAACTTCTCATGAAAAGAATGAAATGTATTTGACTTTTCATATTTATTTTATTTATTTACTTTTTTGTTTGTTTCTTTTTGAGATTTGCACTGATGATATTAACCTCAATGTAGATGATGTGGGCAGCTGATTTTGATGAATCTGTCACATGCAATTTAGAGGAGATTTGTCTGGAAGCATTGATTGTAGAGCTTCCGAGGGATTCTGGGGCAGAAATGGGAGAAGAAAACTCAGAAAATGGAAATGATGGTGTAAAGGATGGCCTACAATTGAAACATTCCTTGTCTGAGAATGCTGGAATAAAATCAGCATCAGCTTATCCCTTTTGTGGTTTGACACGGAATTTTTGGTCTAGAACTGATCGCCTTCAAATATGCAATGTTGTCTCATCAACTAGGACAGGAGATGATGATTTGCCTGTCTTTTGTGTGGCTGCTATTCTTATCATGAACCGTCAAAAAATCATGAGGCAAACCCGTTCAATAGATGACATGATAAAGGCAAGTCCCTTAGAATTGTCAATTCATACTGTCTCCCTCTCTGTCTCCACAGACATGCACAGCTTTGATTGTCCACTCAACTCACAACCCCTCCTAGCATGATTTCTAGGGTGTTTGGTTACAACCTTCTTGCAATTTTTTGAGCTAGCTAGCCAAGGTCTTGGGACTTGTTAAATTTACTTAGAATTGCAAACGTTTTAGTTAGGCAATATATCTTGCCCTTTTGTAAAAACCTAGAAGAGTATTATTTTCTTCTAAAGAAACTTTCAGAACATGGTTATTGATGAAAGGATGTTAGCAACTTTTCTTCATCTGTGGAAGAAACTGAATTATCCCGAGTTAAGAGTTTCAGTTACTGTTATTAAGATGGATAACCAGGGCTACTTCTGCATTGGTGGCTTGATGGAAGTTTGATACAGTTCTGTAAATGAAAAATACGGTAGTTAACCTGGTATTGGTGGAATCAACTCTTAAGTTGGTAGTATGATGATTAAAGTGATGCCTTACCTATGAAATAGTGGCTTAGCTTCAGTTTGGAAAATGATTGTTGTCAATATTTTTGTTCTACTTTTCTGTTGTGGGGAGAACTTAAAACTGAAAAAAGGAATGGTTCTTTTTTCTTTTTTTGTTGGATGGTTGGGAATATTTGTTTGATTTCAATAATTGTACTTTTGCAGATTTTCAATGATAAGCTTCTGAAAATCCATGTCAAAAGATGCATAGGTGCTGCGATCAAACTCAGAAAGAAATATTTGTACAAGGTTAGGTAATTATGCATTTTCCTTTTATGGAATTATGAGTGAGAGGTGACATATAAATTCAAACTCTTTTATGCTACTAAGCAGTGAAAACTGAAAACTTTTGTTTCTTTCTCTCTCTCTCTCTCCAATGACAATGGGCATTGTCATATCAGAAACTCTAATGCTGTTATGGTGTTTGAACATGTAGAAAAAGACACAGTTGCCCATGTGACAAGATGTGAATTAATGCATGATACCTATAACCTATGTCAAGAGAGAGACTACAAGAACAGGATTTATAGGACCTCAGTTTTTACTCGGTTTACTGATATAGTCTTAAATAAGAGCACTGTGGTTTTATATGATCCATATATAGTGTGTTTAGTTCTTGACAATGGCTTTTCTTGACCATAGTTAGGATCAACTTGCATCACTTAGTTTTCTGACAGAATTAATACTCTTGTTTTAAACCAATTCTCCTTTTGAATGGATCGGATGAGAACATTAACATGCTGACCTGAAGCTATGAATTGTCTCTATTGCTAAGTTATGGTTAAAGCATATGGCGTGTAAAATGTGCAAGTCCGTAGTATGTAATGGGCATGCGAGGCATGACTTTCTTCTTTGCTCTATTAAATGTTTCACCTTTGTAGTAACCTTTGGTAAATCTAACATTTTGTTTTAATCAGCTAATCAAGAACAAAGGCCATCCAGCTCGGAATAGTGAGTAGGTCACAGCATTTCCTGCCTACTATCATGGCAAGAAAAGGCAACAGCACTTTTAGCCAGTATTTCGTGTGTGGGATTCCTAGTTTGGACATGGCATGAAAGTTTATGTTGGATCTTTTATGATGGGGGATGAAGCAGAAGTGCTTTTGCTGTCCGAAGATTCATCCTATTTTTTGCACCCCCATTTTCTTCAAGTCTGTTCCAAGGTAATTACCATCTGGTTTATATTCCTTTCTACAGCAGTAGTAATATCTGATGCAAAGAATGTATAAAATTCATGAAGAAGAATTTTTGAGTTGAGCCGACTCAGAATTACATATTGGCACATATTTTTCCCCTACTCTTTGGGGTACATATTTTCAGGTCAAATATAGTAATAGTAATTTTTTCTTTTGTAAATTAATATATATAGTAAATTTATGTATTACTCAAAATTTTGGTGAATCTGGACCTATTATCAATTTAATCAGGGATTTCAATTGTTGATAATCAGATTGATAGTTTCAGGGGAACTACAAATCATTTGCTAACTTATTATGTAAAATGGATTGATTTATGGCATGGACCACCATTCAGTGCTCCTTCCTGTGCACTAAAATTATAAAAAGAAAAAATTTTGAATAAAGAAATAAAGCTAACCTGGTGATAAGGGAAGAAATAGTCAGAATAGAGTGCATGGTTGAAGTAGCTGTTAAAGGATAATTTCACATTGCCTCATTTTGGTCAAACCCTGGGAAAAAAATTTCATGAAATAGCTTTTTACTCAAAAAAGTTTTTATAAATATGTATGTGTTTGTGTGTGCGTCTCTGTTCATAGGTTATTCTCAGATCATTTCCTCTGCATATTATGTTTGAAGCTGATGTTGGGTCCATACCTAGCTCTTGCATACGTACCTTTCATATAAACTTGGAGTTTAAATTGTTATGTACTGTCTCAGCTCTAGATTCAGCCTTAGTTCCAAATTAAACACCAAAAGAAAAGTGATGCAGTATGAAATAGGATAAGTAGAACAAAACATAATAGAGGCTGAATTAATGTAGAATTGAAGGTGAAACAAGAACAGTAAGGTTTGTGGTTGTAGAAGACTATTTATACTAGGACAACAACAGCTTTTTATCCTAGCCCTTGGTTACAAATAAACCTCATCTACACTGAGTTCAAATTCATTAAAATTTTCATGCAAGTCACATGACCATTTAAATAAAAATAAAAACATAATACTGACAAATATAAGAGAATATACCAAGATAATAAATTTAGCAAAGTTCTAGGATGCTCCCGCATCAAAAGGGTTATTAAACTGTGCAAGTAGGGAGTTTGGTATTGAATTTATTAAAGATCTCGTAAAAATGATCAAGTTACATTTCTCTATCCCAGATCTTAGTCTTTCCTACATGGCAATGATCTTTCCTTTTTTGGTCTGATGACCTATTTATCAGATTTCAGAACTTGTTCCATGCTCTTATTCCTCGCAGTTTGGTGCTTGGCATATGATTACTGTAATATGATATAAGCTTTTATTCAAATAATTTTCTTGGTTACAATTAATGCTTGTATGGTTTGACAATCATTTGAGTAGGCTGTTGTGTCTTCTTAGAGTGCACTCGTCCAGTTATTAAGATATGCAAGTAGGCAGTTGGATGTTCAATTATGATGATTTCAGGAAAATTATCCTACATTTTTCTTCCAGATCTTAATCTTCTTATGAAGGGATTACATTTTTTTCTTAGATGACTAATCAGGATCTCATAACTTCTTCAATTCTCTTATTCATTGCTGTAGGACCATAAAATCCCACTTTATGGAGAATCTTTTGGTTAAGAGTGTTGTAAATACTTGCTTCACCTTGAGTTTGTGCTTGTGTGGTTCCATAATTATTAAATAGACTTTTAGTGTCTTCTTAGAGTGCATTGGACATTCTATTGATGCAAGTTTATTTTCTTGGTTGTCTTTTTGAATATCACTGGAATCAATTAATTTGCATCAAAATAACATTCAACCCCCACCCAGTCACGAATGTTTGCCTGGCAATAATAGATGAAGCATGATTGAGATTGCTCTTACTCTGTTTTTGGCATCCGATTTATGCTGTAGCTTACAAAGATTTCTCCTTTTGCTTCCTCATTTTGAAGCCACGAGAAAGACTGGAAAGTGGTAAGAAGTCCCGTCTATTCGAGGTTCATGCAGATGTAAGCATTTGGCTTTTATGCGGAACCTCGCACAGGTTAGGCGAGCGTGATCTGGCCTTTTTGTCTTTATATAATTCATATTATTTTGTAAATCTAATTGTTAAATTGTTCATCAAGTTTGTTTTCTTATTTATGCACGTGAATTTACAGATAATAGTCTGTGCAGTTAATAGATGATTGTTGAACTTTTAGCTTTTCTGTCGGACAGTGTAGGCCAGGATTGAAAAAGTTATACAATTTTATTTGTGGAAAGAAAATAGTTTTTCCATCATGTTGTTTTTATTGATGTTCTGCCATACCTTAAACCCAAGAAAATTTGCTTTCCAATGACAATCATCCCTATAATTTATGATTATAGATTGTTCTTCCCCCAGCAGAGTGACTCGCCTAGTTTTTGCTGGGATTGTATTTATTTGTAAATCTGCAATTTTTGCGTATTTCTCCTTCCTTTCCAGTTAGCACATTGATATTTCCCATTCGACTCATGGAAAGAGCAAATGACCTCCTAAAATCTTCAAAGCTTGCAGCAAATTCTTGGGTGATTTGCTTAGTATCATCACCAAAGAATAGCTGCTGGTCAACTCCCAGGACAGCTTCCTTGGTTAAGACTCTGGAGTAGTAGGAGTTGCTGAAACTATATTTGGGGCCAGATGCTGGGTTCAGAAAAACCAGCGGGTAGCTTTGGCCCTTCTTCAATCGCGGCGGACATAGCTTTCTCTGGTTTGCCAAGAACGATGCCTTCATGCTTGGGTCTGGCTTTCCTGTCTTATTGAAATTGTACAGCCGATCCTCGATGTAGCTACAGTTTGTTTTCCCCATGGAATGTGCTCCTGATATCCAAGGAAGGTAAGTAGTCAAATAGGAATGAAGTACCATTAAGATTTGGTTGGTGTCCTTGAAACCTATTATCACCCAATTAGTTTACATGATTTTATGGATTTCGCCGATGAAAATATGGATTAGTATTCATTCAGCTATGGTTTAGTGCCTTTACCCAAAAGCGTTGCCATATCCAACACATCCAAGCCTTTTGATTTGAAATATGCGAGAGCAGCTTCCCATGAGATGGATGGTGAGGGGAGATCAACCGATGCTGCGGTAGATGTCATGCCGTCCCTCCGCCCTGTAAGTACAGGATAAGATGGTGCGCCTGCCTGTCCATCCATCACACCACTAATTAATGATTTTGTAACAACGCATTTGCCCTTTAACATCGTGGGATGGGATGCCTATCTTTCAGCACGTTATGGTAACAAAACTAAAATTTTACACGAATGTATGGGATAAGCTAAACTATTTATGCATCATGTACATAAGAAGAAAGAGGAGATACATGGGTTATCGAATGAAGAATTTAGAGAGGAGGGACTATACCAAATGAACAGCGTCTCGGGTGGCAAGGTTGAGAATGTCAGCACAAGAGACCACCCCGGGGCACCGAGCTTCTAGTACGGTTTTGATCTTGTCGATAAAAGCGAACCCTCCAAGTCGCCTGTTCTGCCGTGCAGTCTTCTCTGATTTTGGGCCATCTAGCAGGATTGAACCATCACTCCCCTACAATTCCATAAAACCAGATGACCTGAAAATACTGTTTAATTTTCCATGGCTGTTCAAACTTAAAACGAGATCAGTTTTTCTTAATATATTTGTTTTTGTACAATAATTATACAATCTTAGCCATAAAATTTATAAATTAAAGCTAAAACCGAAACATATGAACTACTAGATTTGGAGCATTTGGTTGAGCAAGTCAAGTAAAATTTTTGTTTTGATATATATATATATTCGGTCCTTGTGTTCCCTAACTTTTAAATTAGGTTTGATTCTCCCCTGCAACCAAAACTGATTTGAGTTTTAATTCAAATAGAAAGTAGTAACTAGGAGGGAGAAAGCACTTACAGTAACGAAACAATCCGAGTATTGTAACCGGAGAAGCTTAGCTGCAATAGTTTTATCCCTTTTATAGAACTTTTCCACTTGGTGCCGGATATAAACCTCTGCATTAACACACGTGTTATGCACCTTATAGTAATGCCAAACCAGCTTCACCGGCGGCTGCAGTGACGACGCCCCCTCCACGTCCACCACGTACAGGCTCAGTGCAAAAGCCAACAGTGGGAATATCACAAATCTTTGTCTCCTCATTTTCTCTCCCACCCCTAAATAAACAAATTAAGCTAAGATGCACCCAAGCTTGTATATTTCCTCATAGCTTGTAATGGTAAGCTCTATATAGAGTCAAGTTTTTCTACTTGCCACATGTCTTGACCGACGATGCCAAGCCGGATGAATTCAAAATTTTTTTTTTTAATTCTTAATTTTAGAACTTTGATCATTTGATAATTAGGCAGCGTGAGGTGGAGGAAATGTGTAGCAGTAGGCCTGTTCACATGGACCAAGGCGTTCAACATTCTTCTACGTTATGTGAATAAGCAAAACGTACGTCGACAGCCAGCAACGTGAATGCATGTGATTTCAGCCTTGGCTTTAGGGTTTATTCATTTTACTACAAAAGAATTTTGTGATCCAAAAACTTTTAGGATTGATTTAATAATGTGGTGGGATGCGAGAACTCGTTAACCAATGTTGAACTTTGTGATCAATAATGAATTATCATTTATGAACCTTGGATTTTGTAAGTTTGGGTTGCTATTGAAGGGAAGTAGACACAAACCTTTTTTGCACTATTATATTTATTATCATTATAGGTCAAGATTCCATTGCTAATAATCTTATCATTTTTTTAACCTCTATATTTCTAACCTTGTTTTATTTTTTCAGTGTCTTTTTAATTCATGCACACAATTTTTATGTAATTTCGTCATTTTCATACAAATCAAATAGCTTTTAATTCATTACTCTTTAATCACCTTTTATATAAAATTTTAGATCATGTCATTGAGAAAATCTATTAAACCTAGAAAGCAAAACTAAATCAATATTGTTTTCTAAGACTATGATAGACATTGGCCTATTAAATTACAGGAAATTTCCTTTGTTTTCTTCCGATTGTTCGCTTCTCCGACTAGTAAAGCTCATTGTCTTGCACCTTAATACATGTACTAAAATATTCTTTTTTTTGAAAATTAAATTATTCTTTTAATGAGAATACATTCGTATAAGTTGAAATTACATTCACTTCACACACAAATATATTATGAATAATACATTTGATATAATAAAATACTAAAATAATATAAAATCAAACCAGACTCACTTATAATGCATTAGAATTTGAACTTATGACCTAATAGTTCCAAAACTCTTTGCTTGCTATTGAGATAAAGGTCTCATCAGCAATGTACTAATTAAAATGTTAATCAATAATAATACGACATTATCATTCTCAAACTGAGTAATTAAAGAACTCTAAAATTTGATCTAACTGGATTTCAATGTCTCATAGGTGAAGGGATGCAAAAAGGCTGTGTCTACTTGGTGTAACTTTATTGATATATAAAGGAAAAGTACTCTTGGCTTGTGTTCCTACGTGCAACAGTTCATGCCTAATATTACTTCAATTAATCAACATATTAATCACCATCTCTAGCTATTTTGGTCAAAAGCTATTTCTTGGTCAAACATATTGGATTGAATTATTTTTATTAATCTCTAATTAGTTAAATTACATATTAACAAAAATAAATAACTCTCATCTTATTTTAATAATAAAATACAAACTCGAGATCTTAAAATCTTTTTAAAAATATATTATTAAAATATATAATCGTTGATTTGTTTTAATACATTGAGTTACACGATTATCTCTTATTTCATAATTCTCTTCCCGTTTATCTCAAAATTGGAACTAATAACTTTTAAAATACAGTGAAAAAATAATAACCCGACGTCCCCCTTTAGTCCAATCATTGGGTTATTGACTTATTTTGATTAGCCTAA